TACACATAATAATCAAGAGGGCTCTCCTGCTTTTGTAGCATGGTGCAGATTCTTGTTGCCAGGCATAGGGTCTTCCAGCAGCTACCCACTTGATCCAGGACAATACTACATCCTCAAGGCACTTGATGTGGGTCTCAGTGTTGAGTTTGAGTCCTTGTGGGAAGATAAATGGAGGCAGAACATCGCCATCACTAGTGATCACTCCAAACACCTTCGTAATCACCATTAGACTCATCCAACTCTTTCTGAATATTTTGCACTATACTCAGATTGAGACCCAAACACTCTTTCTCACAATGTCCAACTGATACTACTCTACTGTGCAATTAACTCAAACAAACAAGAGCATGCACAAAATTAAAAATATAAAATGGCAACAATTTACCCATCACACTCTGTATGTATAACTCATGCTGTTATGTTGCATATCATATGCATAGCCTGTGGTCTAATATATTATATATCCTATACATAGCCTGTGGTTTAATGTCGTATATCATATAAATAGCCCATGATCTAATATGACATATATACAGAGCCCATGATCTAATGTATCATATATCATATGCATAGCACATGATTTTGTATGTCATATATTGTATACATAACTCATGATATTATGGATAGGATTTATGAAGCAAATATGTCAAAACTTTTTTGAGAATTAAATATTTTTTACATGCAAGGCAAAAGAGCAAATTATTAAGATAACAAAGAAATTGAACAGAACTGATACTTTTAGAATGGACTTCATTTGAACCCACGAGGCATATTGTTGTAGCATATAATAATGGCTATGTCCCCATTCACATAAATACAGTAGTAAATACTGTATGTTAGTCTGTTGTTGGAGATTCATTGTGGAATTCATTTGACTCACTTCTAGTAATTGACTACTTCTTCTACGCATCATTGGTGAATCTTATATGTGTTGTTCTTGTCCTAAGTATTATTGTTCATTACCAACCTTTGTGTGATTATTCTATTCAATAATCTTCTCTAGGTTACAACACATATTTTATTGATACCATTTGATTTTCCACTAATCTCCTGCTTAGTTTTAATTATTTTATCCATTGACAAACTAAATCACCCTGGTATTATCAGGGAATTGTAATAAAACACTAAATTTTCCAGTTTTTAACTAAAAATTTGTTTTAGCAAGTTTCTAGCCTCTCTCTTACTAACATTTACTTTAATTCCTGACCTCTGAAAATCCCTTCTTCTTGATTTTCTATTATAAATCATTAATAATGTATTTACATTCTACATATAATAATAGTCCTGTCTTTAATTTGTTTGCTTATATTTGCTTTTTTTTTATCTTTGCACTTTTGGTTTTATAGTCTTAATGCAATGTCCACTTGTTCAATCCCAAAATTCTTCTCTGAGCTTTGGCTTTTCCAAAATAGCAACAAAAGAATCTGAGTAAAATTAATATGATGAAATCTCGTTTCTTGCAATTCTCATGAAGCTGCCTGGAATCTTAAATGAATTTTGCATTCCACTCTTGACTTCTGCCCAGTTCTTTCTCTTTGGATGCTTTTGGGAAATGCCTTGGGGTGACCCACTTTTTGATTCAGTTACTTTTATTTTTTTTTTTTTATTCTTTCCTGGTCAAAACACACAAAGTATATTGCAGAAACTCTTAAAAGCCCTCAAAATGGCTGACATAATATCCATTCTTTTTGATTCCCCAAAGAAGTAATCTACTAAGAGTTCTTTAAAGTTAGATTCTGAACTTGACCAAAATAGTTCTTATGAGAATCACAAAATTTTTCCTCACTATTGCTTTTACTTCTTGTAGCCACTAAAGATCTGTCAGTATCAAAATTCCTGAATATTCTTGTAAAATCCTGTACTGGTTCAGAACTGAAAATGTTATTTGTAAATATAATAGAATCTGGAATCAATAAATCACAACTATGGAGCATTAATAACTAAGGGCAATTTTTAAATTAGTGAAGCTATGAAGGAATATTGCATTAAAGTTTTCTTGAAATACTTTACTAGTAAATAAATGCATTGACTCTGATGCACAGGATAGAAATACACAGATCTTGATACACATGATATAAGAGTGATATGATTTCTTGATCCACTCGACACAGGGTTGATAAAAATCTTGATACACCTGACACAGGGTTTGATACAGATCTTGACCCACCCAACACAGGTGCTTGATACAAATCTTGATCCACCTGACGCAGGAGCTGATACAAATCTTGATCCATCTGACGCAGGGGTCGATGCAAATCTTGATCCGCCTGATGCAGAGGTTGATACAAAGGTTGATTCACCCAACACAGAGCTTGATACAAATCTTGATCCACATGATGCAGGTATTGATACAAATCTTGATCCACCCGACACAGGGGCTGATACAAATCTTGATCCACCCGACACAGGGGATGATACAGATCTTGATCCACCCGACACAGGGGATGATACAGATCTTGATCCACCCGACACAGGGGATGATACAGATCTTGATCCACCCAATGCAGGAGTTCATACAAATCTTGATAGACATGATGAAATTGAAAAAGAACATAATCATTATTGAGCCTTTTTGCCATTTAGAAATAGAACTACTTGTATATTTCATTATATATTAAGTAATGATTACTCTATTTATAAATTTATATATATTCGAACTTGAAAAATTTAAGTTTTTTTTTTATTTTTCAAATAATCAAATCAACCTTTAAACAAAATTTATTTTTAGCCAAAAAATATTAACACATATACTGTTGTAAAGTGTGAATTTTTATGATCAGTTTTTATGCAAAAAAAATAGGAATTTGCATGATACACAGGTAATTTTTTAAAGTGGTTAAAACCATGCATTTTTACTCACTTATACACAAGTATATAGTTAAATTCCTAGATCAGTTCTGTGGACAAGACAAATTGGTATAAGATGAGAGTTGGGAAAAAAATCTTGTTTTTTGCCAATGCATTTCATCTTCCAAATTTTCAAGGCAAAAATGAAATCAAAATCTTTTTGTTGTTACATTAAAAAATCAAAATTTAAAAAAGAGATGCTTCTGCATAAGCATCTTTCTGGTTCATGTAAATTTCCTTTATACTAAGAGTTTTTTTCTTTATATATATATATATATATAAAATATATACAGTAATTTTTCTAAACTCAATGCACAAATTGTAAAGTTTCACTATAAAATTTTATTAGTTCTTATAAGTTCACTAAATCATTGAATGATTATTTTTCACATGAACAATTAAGAATAGAAAATAGATATTTTTAAATGAAAAAAATGCTTTCTATATTTCTGAGATGAGGTATTATGTACACTATTTACATTATTCGGACTAAGATAGTCCGAATAAAATAAATAGTGTAAAAAATTTGCTCTATTTCATTCTACCTGATGAAAAACAAATATTTGATAGCTTTATCACTACATAATTATTGTAATATTTATAAGATTATATCTCTATATAATTATTATGAGTTTCTCTACTTCAGCACTTTGCAATTATCATGACTACCATAATTCCCCATGAATAACATGCATTTTTTCTCTACTTCAGACACTTTTCCCCATGAATAATTATTTTTCTGACTTTGCACCATAATTCCCCATGAATAACACGCATTTTTTCTAAGAAATTTTTTTTCTAAATCAGGGGTGCATATTATGCACAGCTACAGAAAAATCTTGCCGTTTCATAACAATTTATAGTGTTTGATTACATGTGGAATTACAGTAGTTCAATACATATTGGTAATGAGCAATAAAAATGACTTAATGAGTAGAAATCATAACATTAAACTAATACTATTTATTTATACTAATGTTCACCCTATACAAAGCCCAAGAGCCACTCAAGGTAGTGTGTTACTGCATAGTGTTATAAGAGCATAAGAAAGGGAAAGTTCATGGGCTATGCAGGAAAGATAACAGTTAACTAGATTTGAAGTAGTCAAGATTAGGAAAATACCCTACTGAGAGTCTGTCGCACAAAGCAGCTGTTCTTGGGAAGAATCTGCCCGAATGGAACTTCCTCCTTACTAATGGAATACAAAGGGAATGGGGATGATTCGCCCTTATGCTTGTGGCTTGGGTGGATCCCACTTGTAAAAGGTCAGAGGGTAGAGGGACTAAGGAATGTAGCTTGTCAGAACATGTGCCAAGGAAGTAGTGATTGAGCAGTGAGAAGCTTGCAATGACAGGTTGTTGGGCAGAAAATAATGAATCACCCACAAGGCTGCATAAATGCTTTTGAACTCTATGAAGACAGACAAGTGAGTACTATGCAGCTCCAATCCAGATATGGCAGCCAAATTCTATTTTTCATCTGATTTGGCTCTTCTAAGTATAGACTAGAGTAGGGGAATTCAAACTCTTACTGGAGTAGTACAATTGACCAACCATTTATTCCAGCATCTTTAGCAATAGATCAGATATATGAGTTACACTAGGAAGATCTTGAATCACAATAGATGTTCAAGACAAGGAGAAGAGCAATATGTCATGATAGATGAAAGTTTGTGGGTCTGCTTGGTGGTGATGAATATTACTAGTTTGGTTTTGGCCATATTGAATTTTACAAGCCCTCCCCCACCCTTTGATCCACCTGGATGAGCTGCTAGGTTCACATCTTCCAGATTTTTTGGTGATGCATCTGTAAAATGCTGTGTCATCTGCATAGATACTCACTAAATATCAGAATATGCTCTTGGGCAGATCAGTCAATACAGGTTAAGTGTGAGAAGAGAACCCCGTGGAATGCACAGCATTGATCTTAAGAGTTTCTGATGACTAGCAGAAGACAAAGATCTTCAGTGACATACTAATTATGAAGGACTTGATAACTTCTCAATGAGATTTGATTCAATTATTGTGATTCCTTAAGGAAAGGCTGAAACTTAAAATTCCTTGTTCCAGTTATTTTGACCTCATTTTAACTTGTTGAATAAAATATGAAAGTACAGTGAAAGTTATTATTGTTTTCTTTTTTTTTTTTTTCAGAAGCCAGTAAGGTCATTATGCAGTATGTGGCCGAAGTGTCTGGAAAGGGTCAAGACATTGACCATGTCAAAGAGCAGCTTTTATTGTCCAATCCAGTTCTTGAAGGTAATAACTATATTTTGCTTATCTTTGGGAATTACAAGTGAAAAAAATGATTTATAATTGACCAAAAAGTATTTAAAGGTCATCTGTAACATCCGTCTTATTGTCTTCTCTTCCGTCTTATTGTCTTCTCTTCTGTCTTATTGTCTTCTCTTCTGTCTTATTGTCTTCTCTTCTGTCTTATTGTCTTCTCTTCTGTCTTATTGTCTTCTCTTCTGTCTTATTGTCTTCTCTTCTGTCTTATTGTCTTCTCTTCTGTCTTATTGTCCTCTTCCATATTATTGTCTTCTCTTCTGTCTTATTGTCTTCTCTTCTGTCTTATTGTCTGCTCTTCTGTCTTATTGTCTTCTCTTCCGTCTTATTGTCTTCTCTTCTGTCTTATTGTCCTCTTCCATATTATTGTCTTCTCTTCCGTCTTATTGTCTTCTCTTCTGTCTTATTGTCCTCTTCCGTCTTATTGTCTTCTCTTCCGTCTTATTGTCTTCTCTTCTGTCTTATTGTCTTCTCTTATTGTCTTATTGTCCTCTTCCATATTATTGTCTTCTTCTGTCTTATTGTCTTCTTTCTTCTTATTGTCTTCTCTTCTGTCTTATTGTCTTCTTCTGTCTTCCGTCTTATTGTCTTCTCTTCCGTCTTATTGTCTTCTCTTCTTCCGTCTTATTGTCTTCTCTTCCGTCTTATTGTCTTCTCTTTCTCTTCCGTCTTATTGTCTTATTGTCTTCTTCTGTCTTATTGTCTTCTCTTCCATCTTATTGTCTTCTCTTCCGTCTTATTGTCTTGTCTTCTCTTCTGTCTTATTGTCTTCTCTTCTGTCTTATTGTCCTCTTCCATATTATTGTCTTCTCTTCCGTCTTATTGTCTTCTCTTCTTGTCTTATTGTCTTCTCTTCTTGTCTTCTTTCGTATTGTCTTCTCTTCCGTCTTATTGTCCTTCTTCTTCATTCTTCTTGTCTTCTCTTCCGTCTTATTGTCTTCTCTTCCGTCTTATTGTCTTCTTTCCGTCTTATTGTCTTCTCTTCCATCTTATTGTCTTCTCTTCTGTCTTATTGTCCTCTTCCATATTATTGTCTTCTCTTCCGTCTTATTGTCTTCTCTTCTGTCTTATTGTCTTCTTCCATATTATTGTCTTCTCTTCTGTCTTATTGTCTTCTCTTCTGTCTTATTGTCTTCTCTTCTGTCTTATTGTCTTCTCTTCCGTCTTATTGTCTTCTCTTCCGTCTTATTGTCTTCTCTTCTGTCTTATTGTCTTCTTTCATATTATTGTCTTCTCTTCCGTCTTCCATTGTCTTGTCTTCTTCTGTCTTATTGTCTTCTCTTCTGTCTTATTGTCTTCTCTTCCGTCTTATTGTCCTCTTCCATATTATTGTCTTCTCTTCTGTCTTATTGTCTTCTCTTCCGTCTTATTGTCTTCTCTTCCGTCTTATTGTCTTCTCTTCCGTCTTATTGTCTTCTCTTCCGTCTTATTGTCCTCTTCCATATTATTGTCTTCTCTTCCATATTATTGTCTTCTCTTCCGTCTTATTGTCTTCTCTTCTGTCTTATTGTCTTCTCTTCCGTCTTATTGTCTTCTCTTCTGTCTTATTGTCTTCTCTTCTGTCTTATTGTCTTCTCTTCCGTCTTATTGTCTTCTCTTCCGTCTTATTGTCTTCTCTTCCGTCTTATTGTCCTCTTCCATATTATTGTCTTCTCTTCCGTCTTATTGTCTTCTCTTCTGTCTTATTGTCTTCTTCCATATTATTGTCTTCTCTTCCGTCTTATTGTCCTCTTCCATATTATTGTCTTCTCTTCCATATTATTGTCTTCTCTTCCGTCTTATTGTCTTCTCTTCTGTCTTATTGTCTTCTCTTCCGTCTTATTGTCTTCTCTTCCGTCTTATTGTCCTCTTCCATATTATTGTCTTCTCTTCCGTCTTATTGTCTTCTCTTCTGTCTTATTGTCTTCTCTTCTGTCTTATTGTCTTCTCTTCTTCTTGTCTCCTCTTTTGTTCTGTCTTATTGTCCTCTTCCATATTATTGTCTTCTCTTCCGTCTTATTGTCTTCTCTTCCGTCTTATTGTCTTCTCTTCCGTCTTATTGTCTTCTCTTCCGTCTTATTGTCTTCTCTTCCGTCTTATTGTCTTCTCTTCTGTCTTATTGTCTTCTCTTCCGTCTTATTGTCCTCTTCCATATTATTGTCTTCTCCCTCCTCTTATTGTCTTCTCCCTCCTCTTATTGTCTTCTCCCTCCTCTTATTGTCTCCTGCCTCCTCTTATTGTCTTCTCCCTCGTCTTATTGTCTTCTCTTCCGTCTTATTGTCCTCTTCCATCTTATTGTCTTCTCTTTTGTCTTCTTGTCTTATTGTCTTATTGTCTTCTCTTTTGTCTTATTGTCTTCTCTTCCGTCTTATTGTCTTCTCTTCCGTCTTATTGTCTTCTCTTCCGTCTTATTGTCTTCTTCTCTTCCGTCTTATTGTCTTCTCTTCTGTCTTATTGTCTTCTTCCGTCTTATTGTCCTCTTCCATATTATTGTCTTCTCCTTATTGTCTTCTCTTCTTTATTGTCTTCTCCCCGTCTTCTTCTGTCTTATTGTCTTCTGCCTCTTTATTGTCTTCTGCCTCCTCTTATTGTCTTCTCCCTCGTCTTATTGTCTTCTCTTCCGTCTTATTGTCCTCTTCCATTTTATTGTCTTCTCTTCCGTCTTATTGTCCTCTTCCATATTATTGTCTTCTTTTTGTCTTATTGTCTTCTCTTTTGTCTTATTGTCTTCTCTTTTGTCTTATTGTCTTCTCTTCCGTCTTATTGTCTTCTCTTCTGTCTTGTTGTCTTCTCTTCCGTCTTATTGTCCTCTTCCATATTATTGTCTTCTCCCTCCTCTTATTGTCTTCTGCCTCCTCTTATTTTCTTCTCCCTCGTCTTATTGTCTTCTCCATCGTCTTATTGTCCTCTTCCATATTATTGTCTTCTCTTCCGTCTTATTGTCTTCTCTTCCGTCTTATTGTCTTCTCTTCTTATTGTCCTCTTCCATCTTATTGTCTTCTCTTCTGTCTTATTGTCTTCTCTTCTGTCTTATTGTCTTCTTCTTCTGTCTTATTGTCCTCTTCCATATTATTGTCTTCTCTTTTTCTTATTGTCTTCTCTTCCGTCTTATTGTCTTCTCTTCCGTCTTATTGTCTTCTCTTCCGTCTTATTGTCTTCTCTTCTGTCTTATTGTCTTCTCTTCCGTCTTATTGTCTTCTCTTCTGTCTTATTGTCTTCTCTTCCGTCTTATTGTCTTCTCTTCTGTCTTATTGTCCTCTTCCATATTATTGTCTTCTCTTCCGTCTTATTGTCTTCTCTTCCGTCTTATTGTCTTCTCTTCCGTCTTATTGTCTTCTCTTCCGTCTTATTGTCTTCTCTTCCGTCTTATTGTCCTCTTCCATATTATTGTCTTCTCCCTCCTCTTATTGTCTCCTGCCTCCTCTTATTGTCTTCTCCCTCGTCTTATTGTCTTCTCTTCCGTCTTATTGTCCTCTTCCATATTATTGTCTTCTCTTTTGTCTTATTGTCTTCTCTTTTGTCTTATTGTCTTCTCTTCCGTCTTATTGTCTTCTCTTCCGTCTTATTGTCTTCTCTTCCGTCTTATTGTCTTCTCTTCTGTCTTATTGTCTTCTCTTCCGTCTTATTGTCCTCTTCCATATTATTGTCTTCTCCCTCCTCTTATTGTCTTCTCCCTCCTCTTATTGTCTTCTGCCTCCTCTTATTGTCTTCTCCCTCGTCTTATTGTCTTCTCTTCCGTCTTATTGTCCTCTTCCATTTTATTGTCTTCTCTTCCGTCTTATTGTCCTCTTCCATATTATTGTCTTCTCTTTTGTCTTATTGTCTTCTCTTTTGTCTTATTGTCTTCTCTTTTGTCTTATTGTCTTCTCTTCCGTCTTATTGTCTTCTCTTCTGTCTTGTCTTCTCTTCCGTCTTATTGTCCTCTTCCATATTATTGTTGTCTCCCTCCTCTTATTGTCTTCTGCCTCCTCTTATTTTCTTCTCCCTCGTCTTATTGTCTTCTCCATCGTCTTATTGTCCTCTTCCATATTATTGTCTTCTCTTCTGTCTTATTGTCTTCTCTTCTGTCTTATTGTCCTCTTCCATATTATTGTCTTCTCTTCTTTCTTATTGTCTTCTCTTCCGTCTTATTGTCTTCTCTTCTGCCTTATTGTCTTCTCTTCCGTCTTATTGTCTTCTCTTCTGTCTTATTGTCTTCTCTTCCGTCTTATTGTCTTCTCTTCCGTCTTATTGTCTTCTCTTCTGTCTTATTGTCTTCTCTTCTGTCTTATTGTCTTCTCTTCTGTCTTATTGTCTTCTCTTCCGTCTTATTGTCCTCTTCCATATTATTGTCTTCTCCCTCCTCTTATTGTCTTCTGCCTCCTCTTATTGTCTTCTCCCTCGTCTTATTGTCTTCTCCCTCGTCTTATTGTCTTCTCCCTCGTTTTATTGTCTTCTCCTCTGTCTTATTGTCTTCTCTTCTGTCTTATTGTCTTCTCTTCTGTCTTATTGTCCTCTTCCATATTATTGTCTTCTCTTCCGTCTTATTGTCTTCTCTTCCGTCTTATTGTCTTCTCTTCTGTCTTATTGTCCTCTTCCATATTATTGTCTTCTCTTCCGTCTTATTGTCTTCTCTTCCGTCTTATTGTCTTCTCTTCTGTCTTATTGTCTTCTCTTTTGTCTTATTGTCTTCTCTTCTGTCTTATTGTCCTCTTCCATATTATTGTCTTCTCCCTCCTCATATTGTCCTCTCCCTCCTCTTATTGTCTTCTCCCTCCTCTTATTCTCTTCTCTTCCATCTTTTTGTCTTTTCTTCCGTCTTATTGCCTTCTCCCTCCTCTTATTGTTTTTTTTCTTCCATCTTATTGTCCTCCCTTTCATTTCAATGTCCTCTTTTCCATCTTATTGCCTTCTCTTCCAACTTATTGTCTTCTCTCCTCTTCCATGGCTCTCCTCCTCATTCTTTTCTTCCTCACATCTTTCTCTCTTTCTCTCTGATCTTTTTCTCTCTCCCCATCTCTTATCTTTGCTTTTTTAACTTTTTTCTTTTGCTGCTTTTCCATAAAATCGTAAATGTATTTCTTCCTAAAATCGCTTCATTCCTCTGACGCCAAACCAATTTCTTCAGATCCATGCTGACTTATTCTTGGTTCCATTTTCCCATTCAATCTGCAACTTTATCACTTGTCTTGAACTGAATTAGGATTTGATCAGTGACAGAATTTGGAAGTAAGATCACAAATCTTACTAACACAGCTAAATTGGATTTTCTTCATTTTGAAACAATGTCTCCACAAACCTTAAGAAGCAAACAAATCCAGACTTTTAGCCTCTGTTGTGTTTGATGGGTTTGAAAGAGAATCCTAATCTGGATATTTTCTATATAGAATTATTTGATGCATCAAGCAGATTCAATTTTAACAAAACTTTGACACTAAATGTTTCTTCATTCATTGAAAGGAATGAATATTCTTAATTCATTACTTTATTATAAATGGCAAATATCACATTTTTTCAACCCACATTTAAATATGATTTCATTATTTCATTTAACAACATATGAGGCATGCTTTTTTTTAATAGGCCTTACAATTATCAAGTATTACATGGGTGACTCTTATCCAGAGTTAGAGAAGTTAAAGAAATGTTCAGCCAATAAATTTCAGATTTTAGAATGAGTCATCAAACAATGGTAAGAATTCTTTAACTGAAATTAGTTAAATTCAACTATATTCTTTTCTTGCCAGCAAAAAATTTTTAAAAGAATATTCTGAATGAGCATCATATTGGTGCATGCATATCATATGTATATGTCCTTTTACAAAATGTTCTGGGTATGATGATAAACTACATCTGGTAGCAAGGCCTCTGATCAGGAGACTGGAGGTTTTGAGGAGCATGGAGCCATCTCTTAATTGTTGTTGTTGTTTCCAGAACCACTCTGACCTGGAGTGGTAGGACATGTTAGGGTCCTAGGTATGGACAAATAGGGAACCCTCAAGCAAAAACAACACTATGAATGTATAAAATTACCAGTAATACATTTTTATAGTAAAAATTACCAAGAATACATTTTATCTGTAGTTGAAGGCATACAATTTCATTCAAAATATTTACATTTTGGCATTAAATAATCCATAGAGGTTGATTTTGTTTAGTGGCATATCAATCCATAGCAGCTGATTTTGCTTAGTGGTATATCAATCCATAGAGTTTGATATGCTGCTAAACAAAATCAACCATCCTTTGACAAAAATAATGTGAAAAATACAGTGTCAGTCACCAGGTTTTTTTTTGGGGGGTTAATGTCTGTTTTAAAATAAACAGGTTGGAAATGTATGCAGTAAAAAAAATCACAGGAAAAATAAATTATTTATATACGAGTTAGTTTCTGAAAAATGATCAGTTATCTCAATTTCCAGATGAATATGGCTTCAGGATTTGGGATGAGGTATCCTTTCTTATTCTGAGAATTTTTCAGATGCCCCTCATAATGAACATAAAACCTTGCAGAGAAAACATTTTATTTCAGCAAATTTACTTTTCTATTTAGATCTCCTTTTCATAATTGCATAAATTTACTTCCTCCTCCTCCTGAAATAAGGCTCTCAATTGATTTTCATATTGGGCAACAGTTTCATGTCATTCAGTGAATTCTTGATAAATCTCTCTTATTCAGTGACTCTTCCAAATGAATCCATGAAGCAATTTCAATAACCCATTATTTATCTTAAGGGATTATCATCTACTGCATTCATTTTGATGCTGCAGTTTCAAAATCCCCAGCCTCCAGAGTTGATTCTATATTGTGTCTAACAAACAAAAATCTTTTTTATAGAAATCTTTTTGGTTTCATCTCAGATTCAACCTAAATATTGCTTAAAAAAAATCTTTTTTTAATATTCTATATTCCAGTTTAGATAAGTATTGAACAGGGAAATTAAGCCAATTGCTTATTACAGCAATTGTTCTACTTTCTTATTAATACACTTTTTTTTAATAAATGGTAATGGATTACTAACCTTACAGGATATGGATCAATGCTCTGATCCCAGAGCCATGACTCTGACTTTTTCCCTATTACAAAAAGTAATTATATTACTTTATATGGGAGCTTTCAAATATTTTGTTAATATGCATCTGTTTCATGCATTCTGATCATAAATAAAAATAATGCCACTAATATGGCTTCCTCTAGACAGGCCAAGAGACTAAATTAAATCCACCTAAAAAAAAGAGACAGTAGATTGCTAAAATTTGTGTATAGTTATTTCAGCAGAACACACAACAGAACTATGAAAGAGGGATTGCTGGAAAATTTGGTACACTATTTCATATTTCAGAATCCCTCTTGCAAATTTATAAATATAAATCTTCCATTCAACCATGCATTGTGTATGGCTGCCATATCTGGTCTGCAGCTCCTACTCCATATCTTGATATTCTTGGAAAAATTCAAAGAATGATCTGTAATATAATCAATCCTGACCTGGCATCTTGACTTCAGTCATTTTCCCCACTGGCATGATGTGGCTTCTCTCTGTCTGTTCTACAAATGTTTTCTTGGCAATTTTTTCTATCAAGGCCAATTAAGCCAGCTGAAGACAACAATCAATGAAAATCATTTACAGTTTAGAATATTAAACCCTTTCGCTTAACTATTAGAATAACACTACGACACATGTTACTTTGATGACCAGGTAAAAATTGTTCCAGTTTAGCTAGAGGTGAAAGGGATTTATATATCACCAGGTATTGTGCCTATTTATTTACCATTTATTTCAGTCTTTAAAGAATTGTCTAAATGAGAAACTCTATAATTCCTTGGTAGACTGCAAAAGGCACCTTAAGTAGTTCTTTGCTTAGTATCTTAATATTTTAGGAGAGAACAGAATTATGAAATTTCCTAAAGGGCAGCAAAAGATAATCGAAGTGGATAGTAAATATGCTCATCAATAAAATTATTAAAAAGTTTGTTTTTTTTTATTTTTGCTTGATAAATAGCAAAAAAAAAACTTTTTGGCCAATTCAAAGCAAACAGAAAGCAAATGAGATTAATGACAAATTTGTCTTTCTTCATAACACACACAAATAGTTTTGTCTATATTTCTGAGATAAGGAATTGGAACTATTTACACTATTTGCATTGTTTAGAGTGTTGTCCTCATCTTTATTGCCATATTCACAATGTTTTGGCCTTTTGTAGGTGATTCAGGTATGCATCTTCTGAATAATTCACTTTCAGTTATTTCTCTTTTGTAACAACTCTCCACGTTTTTGTTCACATCTACTGTGGCCAAGGATGCATGGCCCAATGGATAAAGACATTGGACTTGACTCAAAGAATTGAGTTCAGTACCTGACCACAGCAGAAGTGTACTTTGGGTGAGGTTGAGTTACTAAAGGGAAATCACTGAAACCGAGACATCTGGAAATGGTATGGCATGTGGAAGTAGAACAATTTACCCCAGTGGAATAAATAAAGGGTTCAGTTCTAAATTTCAATCACCTAAAGAAGGCCAGAGTATAGAATAGCCAAAACATTGTGAATATGACAACAAAGATGAGGACAACAGCAGAACAATATAAAGAGTGTAAACAAATAGTTTTATTACCAGGAATTCATTTTGTCTTGTATGCATATATTGGATGTAGAACTAGATGTGATTTATTTTAAAATCTGCAATTGAAACATTGTGAATAATTTCTCCTATTCAGAGGAGAAAAATCTTCAGCGTCTATTCATCTTATACACAGCATCCTCCTCCAATCAAAATTATACACCAAAAAGCTTCAAATGAATTTTTTATCAATCCAATTCCCATGGACAGTAGCCAGCATCTTCTGCAGAAATCTTTTAGCTTTTAGTTCTTTTAGTTCTGCATTTGACAGAAAACAGTTAATATTATAACAGAAACCCCACACACATTGTACAAGTATAAAATCATTTTTGCAACTATGTCAGCCGATCAGTTAGGATTCATGTAATTTTGTTTCAATTTGAAAAAACTTAAAAAAAATAATTGCTTTTTCTGATTCAGTATCATAAAGCCAATGATTTCATTATTTTGTTTTCTTATCGTGATAGGAAATTATTACTTGCCAACCCTCTTGGGGCCAAAAAACTCACCTGGCGACATGTAGAATATCCAAAGATTTTAGTCATACACAGAATCTTTTTTAGATTACAAAACAACTTCTTAACAACAAATTAAATCGATTGTTCCTGCAATGGTTAACAAGTATTTACTAAGATTTTCTTTTTTTATTTCAATGTGTCTGGATTGGATTGTACAAAACAAGAATCTAATTTTTGTGATTATCATAGTTCAATGGTTAGCAAGCTGTGCTTTCAGTCTAATCTGTGAGGAGGGCAAGTTCCACCTTTTGCAATGACCTCTTCCTAATCTTACCTAAGTTTAGTAAATAATAATATTGATATTTATGCTAACAATGTGCTTTGATGTTTTCAACATTTCTAAGTGGCAAGACAGTTCACATTCCAATTTCATCAAATACATTGAACCAAGTCTCACAAATTGCTACTACCCCTGAGCCTATTAATAATTAAGTATAGCTTAAAAATGTAGTTCATGTCAATCTTATGATGTTTTCTTCCCCAGTGAAAAGTAGCAAATCAAAAGAAGATGAATATTGGTTTTCTTTTTATTGTTTTTCTTTATTGTTTTTTCTTTTTTTGTTTTTCTTTTTTTTGTTTTTTTGTTTTTTTTTTTTTTTTTCTTTTTTTTTCTCTTTTTTTTTGTTTTTGCTGTTTTCTTCGTTTTTACAAGAATCTTGTTTCAAGACTGCCAAAGCTGTTAAGATCAATGTCATGTCAGTTGCTATTTATAGAATAAACAATTTTTGAAAATGCTGGGGTGGTGCTACTCTTTAACATGCAATCAAATGTTAGTTCCATATATGCAAAAAAAAAATATTTTATTTTGTGTTGAAATTAATCTTTTCCTTTTTCAGTGTTGATAAAATTTTCTTTTACATTGTAACAAAAACTGGATCATTATTATCAAGTTGACTTTAAGCAAAGAATTCACACTATTATTATTAATTGCAAATTAAACTGGAAATTTATTTATTCTTCAAATTATAACATTTTAACAGTATTGCCCAAACAGAACTCTTGCTATGATTTGCTATTTTTGCTGTGTTACAGTAATAAATGAACCTAGATATAAACAGATGATGTTAATGATTTTTATGAGTTTTTCAATTTCAACTGTTAAGCAAGCAGCTTGGATTTAACAGCATGCAATTTCATTCCCTCACTATCCTCTTTCAAAAATGTAACAGCCTTGACCAGCTTTAAGTATTTAGATAAAATTCTGGCAAAATAATACTGCAACAGAGAATTGGGTCAGTCCAAGAAAAGACTCTGAATTGGTTATATGCAGTACTGTAAGCACCAAGAGTTGTGTCCCCTCCCACAATAGGCTGTTAAGAGAAGACTTTGTACTTAGAGTAGGTGGTGCTGACTATTTGCATATGAAGGATACTAGACAGGTATTAGCCAATAGTCAGCATGAGTCTGGGACTGAGATAGATATATAACACCAGTGTTTTTCTCAGTTGAGAGCACCGCTCCCAACATGCAGACATGCGAATACCAGACAAGACAAACACAAATACAAAAATCAATAAAATATTCCAGATTTAGTATTTCATGTATGATTATTGATGCATTTTATACTTTAGGACTTCATCAGACTAGAATGATGTTTACGCTGATGTGAATTTACACATGCAAATCAAGTGTAAGGGATGCGGAGAATTTATAATTTTGAAAACTAAATTTAACTTTAAAACTTTTAAATTTAAATTTGTTTATTTTAATGTGTTAGGGTATATAGTCTATCCAATTTCATTTAGTATATTTTTGTCTATATTTTATCACATTCATTATTGAGTACCCCATTTTGTTATAATTGAAGAATTGCCAAGAACAGTGAAATATTGTAAGAATATGAATACAAATTTACTGTGGATGATCTACAGATTAAAGCACTTTCACTACACTTTCATCTTAATAAACTGATTTCTCTTTTAATTAAAGTAACGTTTTTTAAATCAAAATTAAGGTCAGGTTCATTACTAAGGCGTTAAGTGTGTTGTTCGTAAAAAACCCTTTTGTGTTCTTATAACCTTTTATTTAAATTCTGCAAGGTTTCTCTTATTACAGGTAATAGAGTAAATTCCTTCATGTTTTAGATTATTTTGTTTTGTATTAATTATTTTATTGTTTTAGAAGTAGTTGAAACAAATTTTATGTTAAGCTTAGATAAAAAATGATTTCACATTGTTCTGATATATAAAAATCAGCAATCACCAGGCAAACTCAGTTTTCTCTATCACAGATATTGAGCACTTTCCACTAAGTACCACACACATATATATATATATATATATATATATATATATATATATATATATATATATATACACACACACACACACATATTTATGATGTACTGAAAAGGTTATTAACCTGACTAAGAAGAAATACCAAAATTCTGATATTTGTTCAAGTTTTAGGAAGTGGTTCTGCCCAAAAACTTTCCAACACCCACTTGTGTGTGTGTGTGTGTGAGAGAGAGAGAGAGAGAGAAAGTGAGAAGGAATTTATATGTCCACATATATGGCCCAGTCATGCTTCCATTTCATGATCTCGTCAAACGAGACTCACACTTTATATGGAATAAAAGCCTTGAGGATGCATTCCAGCATTCAAAGATCATAGTTGACTTAGTCCGAAAAGGCATCACTACATTTGAGAAAGAGAGCTATTTATGGAGCATCTCATTGTGCTCAAGTGGGATAGTCCATCGCTTGGGCTGTGATTGGCTGCTAGTACATGAGTGGAGGTATTTCTGTATAAATACCAGCTTGATTCCAGTCAGTCTGCAGGGTTTGTATTGAGTTACAACCTGCTTTATTTTTGTCTGCCAGCTGAACGCTAGCTGGGACCCTTATGCCAGTAAGTGCTGTTTATTCTATTGTTATTCTACAATAATTGTCTGATTGATGTTTTGTTTCTCTTCCATTTCCTTCCTTTCTGGACTCTTCCCTTCAGATCTCTCTCTCTCTTGACATGACCATCTTACTATCTCTTTCTCCTCTTCTCATATTTTTATATGTAGGCATACTTAAAAGTATTTCCCATAAAAACACAGGGAATAAAATTTTTTCCAATGCTGACATTGAGAGTTTTTGATGTTTTTTTGGGTTTTTTTTTTTTGTGGGGGGGGGTTGTTTTGTTCTTTTTTGTTTTGTTTTTTTTATAAAATCAACGTACAAGAATAAAAAAACCAAGATATTTTTGCCTCCTTGACAAGATGCATATATATCCCAACCACTTCTAACAATATTATTAGGGGAATGAAGCAACAAATGTCTAAACAATTTCACTTTCAATTCAGATAGTCACTGAAGATTCTGTGGGTGTGTCCAGAAAGCATCCAGTAATTTTTGATATCTTAAGAACCAATTGCATGCCAATAAAATACAACTTGGCAACTAATTATTGCACATGCGTAAACACTCTCTCAAAGGGTTACTAACTCATTAATGTGCCATCACTGAGTAAAGCTTATGCAATGTACAACAATCACATTTGCAACAAATACGCATCAAGTTTTGCTTGTAACATGGATATTCATCTAAGGAAAATATCTGAATGATTAAGAACACTTGGTGGTGATTCAATGTTCAAAGCCAGGATAAAATATTGGTATCAATGCTTTAAACTTGGCAAAGAAGATGTTAAAAATTATCTATGTCTAGGATAGCTTTCTCGAGCTGAACACCTGAAAAGGTTGAATATTTGAGGATTGTAATCAAAGAAAATTAGCTGTTGACATTGAGAGAATTAGATAAAGATCTAGAGATTCCCAGAATTGTATGAGAAGATATTCAGCTAATTCAAATACTGTGATTGCCTGTCCTTCAAATCTTATGCAGGATCTTTTGTCAAAATATCTGTCAGAACCCTACTCATACAATCCAGATTTGGCTGGCTTTGATTTCTGGCTCTTTCTAAAGCTAAAATATCCATTTAAAGAGCAGATTTCAGACAGGACAAGATTAACAACATCGCTACGAAGCAATTGATGATGATCCCAAAAGATAACTGTTTTGACAATGACACTGAAATGTATTTGTTATATTTAGATATATTAAGATAAGATGATTGGAAGCTTATAGGTTCAATGCCATCATCAGTATAAATTTCAACAATAAGGATAAATGCTTAATTCTGTTTCAAATTACTGTCTTTGATAAACAGATTCCTGAGGAAGATCCTTCCTTTCCTCTCTCCTTCCTTCTCTATTTTTCTTTCTTGGATAAATTCCAATTTTTCATTTCACTTTAACATCTGTAATTTGTCATAACAAATGCCTATTTCCAAATAAAAATTGGCTTATTGGAATTCAGAAACCATTTCTTCATAAAAAAATAACAATCTAAATAATTTATGGATTAAAACTGACACTAATCTTTTTTAGAAATCTTAAAACCATTGAATTTCTTTTTACTTGATCATCCTATCTGTTAATTGTTTAGGAATCATATGAATTTTAAAAGTATGCATAATAAGTTCCTTAATTATTTGCAAGTCTTGATTGAGAATTAAGAGAACTTGACCAAAATACACCTGAGGAAGGTGAGAGTGGGTTGGCCAAAACAAAAGTCATCAACATAGAAATTCAGAAGAAAAAACAAAAAAAAGGTCAGAATTTAAAAGTTTCCAGACTTATCATATCAACAAATATGTCCAAACACAAACATCAAATCTTTTTAATAGGATGATTCATTTTCTGCTTGGCCCTCCACAACCTCCTAACCCTTGTATTTCTTAGCAACATTTCTCTTTTCTCTCGGATTCCCTCACTGTCACTTTACTCACTCTCTCTCGGCATCGGCGTCTTTCTCTATCTCTTGCCATCACACTTTTATCACTCTCTCTCTCTCACCATGTCACTCTCTTTTCTCTCTCTCACCATGTCACTCTTTTTTCTCTCTCTCTCCATCTCCCTTTTCTGTCTTTGTCATTCCATCCATTTCATTTTTCCTCTCTCTCTCCCTCATTTTCATTTTAATCTCTCCCTCTGTCATCATTATTCTCTCTCTCCCTCAGTCTCTTTTTTTCTCTCTCCCAATCACTGTCTCCTTTTCTTCTCTCTCTCTCACCCGCCATCTCTTTTTTTCTCATGCCCACCATCTCTTTTTTTCTCTCTCTCACACCGTCTCTTTTTTTTCTCTCTCTCTGTCTTTTTAACTTTCTTTTTCTCTCTCTCTGTTTCACCACTCTCTTTCTCTCGTTTGCTTTCTCTCTCACTCTCTCATTTCCTTTCTCTCTCGCTCTCTCTAACTCTTGCTGTTTTCTTTCTCTGTCTTATTTCCTCTCTTTTTCTCTCATTCTGTCTCTTTTTCTTTCTCTTTCTTTTTCCCTTTTTTCTCTCTTTCTTTCTCATTTTCTCTCTTTTTCTCACTTTTCCTCTTTCTTTCTGTCACTTTTTTTCTCTCTCTCTATCCATCTCTTTTCTCACTCATTTCATTCTTCACACACACATGATTATATATTTTAGTTTCTTTTTTCTTCATTCTTGTATGTTAATCATTACAGAGACTTTCTAAATTTAGTCTTGTGAAAGTCCACCATATTGGGACATCTCTAAACGGGGATTGCACTCCCTACACTAACAAATTGATCCGTAAGTTGGCATCTAACACTTTCATGGATTGTCAACAAAGTAGATGCAAGCCCTCTGTTCATTTCATATTGAAATAAATTCCTCTTTTTCAGTTGTAACATCAGATTATTACAGCTTTGAATCCTGTTCTACGGAGGCATGAATTTAAAATGTTTTACGGTCTTTCCCATTAAAATAAGAATTTAAAATGGAAATTTAAAGTAAAATGTATTTTGTTTACATGAGCAAATGTGAGCCAGGAATACTTCTCCTTTCTCTACAGGTATATCTGTTACCTGAGAAAATTAGATTTGTAATTTGTTCTTTTTTATTTATCAGTACCTTTTCTTTTTTTCTATTTATTTTTGTGGGGTGGGGGATAATCATTTGTGAATATTGATATTGGCAGATAATGAATCACTTTAAACTTATTGCCACAATTACACAGATACATTTACCACCCTGTAAGATAGGCTTTCTTTTCAAAAGACCTGTTCACACACTTCCCTGGTGTTTTCAACAGGAGTAGAGGTTTATACCTTGTTTCCTATTGAGGATATGATTTCTGGTTCCTTGTAAAGTCTTCTTATTCTCTTTCACTCCTAATAACCCCTTGCATCTTAGTAGCATTATCACATTGCTTGGGGTTAATTGATTTAAAAAAAAAAATATTCCAGTCATAAATTTTGGTGATCATTACAAGTTCAAGATGAATGTATAAATACCTATTTGGTACATGATTCCTCTAATGACCCTAGAATGCAAAATAATATTAAAATATCTATCTATCTATCTATCTATCTATATATATATATATATATATATATATATATATATATATATAAACAGAGGATATCTGTGTCTGTCAGTCTGTCTGTGATATCTTTTCACTCAAGATCCATCCAACCGATTTTGACCAAACTTGGCACATAACATTGTACAATGTAAGAGATTGATTTTTTATACTAAGACCCTATTAGTTTTAAAAAATTTTAAATAATTGATAAAGCTGATCAAAAATCAATAAATTCAACTTTTTCCTCCAATTTCGTTCAAGCTCGGTATGTAGGTCATTTACGTCATGACGAGCTCAGTGATACCTCATTTTTATATCTACACCACTGCATTTAGCAAAAAAAAACATAAAAAATGAAAAATCAATTTCAACACAAATTTTAAATTAAAAACTCCTTCAATTTTCAAGCAATCTAATAGAAACGTCACTCAATTGTAGCTAACAATAAGTCAATTGTTTAACAGTCATTTAAATTAATGAGTCCACCCATATAGTGAAAACTCACGTAAATAGTGAAAAAGGTGATTTCTACTGGTTTCTTTCTTATTTTTCCTTGATCTTTCAACCAATTTTTATCAAACTTAACAATTGCTTTATAAATGTATCCTCTTTTACATCCCTGGTAGCCTGCTAACAAATTGAATTTCAAAACCTCCAAAATAATTGTGGTCTGAATTGGGTCTTCATGTTGCCTGTTTTATGTCCTCAGCTAACTTCAATTGAAAAAATACAGACAACTTCTGCTTATATCAGTCACTGCATTAATTTAAAATGTTTTTAATGAAAGTATTTAAAGTAATTGAAGACAGATTCTTACATCTAAACATGAGGCTGTTTTTGATCCATTCTAATTGAATGCTTTTTCTGGTTGACCAGCTGGGTATGACTGCTAGTTAAAAATAAAAACAGTATTTAAGTATAGATAAATTATCAATTGGATATTTTGTGCATGTGTTGCTCATTGGTACCTGTTGGATGCCAAGAAACACAAATTCTGCATAAAATCATGAAATATTCATAAATTATGCAAATTTACTGTTATTTTCTTTTACTATGGTACCACATGAATTAGTGTTGTCTTAATGAATGTAAGACACTTTTTGATATATTCATCAAATGCACATATGGAAGCTTTAATTGTGTGAACCTTTCTTTTTCTTTTAAATTCTTTAAAGCAAACGTTATTGATGTTGGCAACAGGCCTATTTGTGTTGAACAGAAACCGATGAGCCAACTTCACTTTTCAGGAAAAATATAAAAAATAAAATAAATTTTGAGACCAAATTTTCTATAAAACACAAAAACCTTTTAAAAATTTAAATATTTTGCTCACCTTTGGTGTACAGGGTTTTTTGTTGATCAGCATTTTGGGGAAGGCTGTTCCAAATTTGGAAACTTGCCCATGCTAATAAAGCCGAACTATCTTTGTGTGCAGCACTGAAAATCATGAAAAATAATTTTTAAAATTTATTTTTCATTTTATTCTAATAGAAAAAAAAATTTGCTAATAGCTGAACCTAAACTAACGTTTTGGTACGATTGATGTATAACTCAATTCTTATTCCATCTCATTCACACATATACATATGTGTGATTGTAGTATACATATATGCACTCATATCTACAAAGATGAAAAAAGGAAGATATATGTACATTTATGTCTTATCTATCTCTGTCTTTTTAATATACACATTAAATAAACATACACACAAATATAAATGCATATATTTGTATACCAGCTGCTTATATATTTAGGATATTATGTTTGTACGCACACACAAGCATAAAATCCAAAGTGCTGATATAATCAAAAGAAAGCCTAGCAGGTAACCAAAAGAAAACTCAAGAAAAAAAAAATTAAATTAAATTTACTAACATAAAAAAACCTATACAAGAATGGAGGAAATAAACAAAGACAAAAAGACAGATATCTACCTAAACAGTAACCAAAAATGCTTGATGCCTAGGTTATTAGGTGTTGTGTCGGAAACCTACCACCCCTCTTGAAGATGAACTTGTCTGCGAGCAAAAAGACTTAAATAGTGGCATGTCAAAAGACCTTTTATTGTTAAAGGCGATTTCTGTACAGAAGTTCCCTTTTTATTGTTATAATTATTTGTCTACTAACATCAAACAATAAATAAAAAAGGTTGGTAAACCCTTTTTTAAATGCCTGAGTAGTCTATAACTAGCTCAGCTAAGAACTTTCTGTCTCTGTCTTTTGACATGCCACTATTTAATGTCTTTGCTCGCAGACAAGTTCATCTTCAAGAGGGGTGGTAGGTTTCCGACACAAAATTAGGGCAGAGTAAAAAAAACAACTCAAAAGACAAAGTGTGGATCAATCGTTCAGTTTCATTCTTCCTGATATCTTGATGATTTTGGGTGACATGAACTTTGTCTAATATATATATAGTTCTAAGGTATGCTATATTTATGGATAAATATGCTAAACATCAGGGATTTTTTTTTCTTTTATTAAGGCAAGCAAGGTGGGAGTGCCACTAGCATGCAAGTGGTTACAGAGGATTGATAACAAGAGTAAAGAAGCATGTTTGAGAAAAATATACAGAGAAAGACAGGGGAACAAGCTCAGGGTGCCAAATGTCAATTGACATTACAATTGAATATTTGAAGATTATACTCATCAAAGAAGCAAGCAAGTAAGGGGAAGGGAGTTCCACAGACAAGAAGTGCAAGAGGAGAAGCTGTTTGAGTAGAAGTGATGGTTACATTTAACCGTTTTGACAATGAAATGAGACCATGATGCCAGCCTGGTAGTTCACTTAAATTCATGTAGTCCGGGAATCAGCGAAAGTAGCTCGTCGGAACAGTTGCCATGAAAATACTTTTAGAAGAGACAGAGGGAGGCCATGGCACATCTGAGGGATAGCGATTGTAGACTAGATGCCAGATCAGAACCCATCATCTTGCATATTCATCTCTGGATTTTGTGAAGGACCTCAAGTCATACAGCGGGAGCACCAGACCATATATGACAGCAATATTCCATGCAAGGATGGATGGTTGATTTATAGATTTGAAGGATGGACTCGGACAAGAAAAAATTTCTGGTTTAACGCATAGAACCAACTTTCCTTGCAGTAGATGAAGCTATTGATTCAATGTATTTATTCTACCTCCTGTCAGTGGACAGTGTGAGACCAAACAGGCATAACAAGGTGCTCTCAAGGAGTTGGGAATCAGCCATTCTAATGGGAGGTTGGGAGGGTTCTCTGTGCTGGGTAATGGAGAGCAGTTCGTTTTGGAGGCATTAAAGTTTACAAGCCATTTCCTGTTCCAGCCAACTACAGATTGGAGGTCCTTTTCAAGATCAGCAGCCAGGTTAGTTTTGTCAACGATACTAGATTTACTATTGAGGCAGGAGTAAATAGTGGTGTCATCCACATAGGTACCAATTTGGGAACTGATGACATTGAGAAGATCATTAATAATGATCAGGAACCGTGTAGGGCCCAAGATAGAGCCTTGGTGATAAAGGAGCTGGAGGAGAACTAGTTTAAGACAACCTTCATTTCACAGTTTGACAGAAATGATTGTATTAAGTCAAATAATCATCCTGTAATACCGTATCTCTGAAGCTTACAAAGAAGGCCAGCATGCCAAACCCTATCAAATGCTTTAAAGATGTCTAGAGCCATGGCTTGAGCTTCTCCAATATTGTTATACAAATTCAGTTATGGCCATGAGCATATCAGCAGTAGATCAGGCAAAGCAGAAAACATATTGCTTGTCAGAGAGCAGATTATGTAAAATAAGGTGCTTAAATACTTCAGCATTGATTAAAGTCATGAAGACTTTACCAAAGAGTGGTAGGAGACTGATAGGATGGTAGTTAGACAGGTCAGAAGGGTCACCAGAGTTCTTAAAGACAGACACAACAGATGAGGACTTCCAACAGGCTGGAAAGCAAAAGTCGGTGAGGCAGTAGTTGTAAAGGTTAGAGAGAACAGGAGTTAATTCAGGAGCACATTTCTTCAGGACAATGGCTAGTATCCTGTCCCCACCACTAGCCTTATGGAAATCTAATTTAGAGATGGTGTACAATATCATCGTTTGGGTTATGTGCATCTCACTCGGTAGAGCCTCAGTTCTAGAGGGAAAGTCCAGTGTCGTACACCAGATGG